CAGCACTGTTCATTGGCATCGATCAGTCCTACAGTATACTAACCATCTGTTACCACTGGGTCGAAGCTGAACTGGGTTACCAGTGAACCTATTCGGACGGTAGCCAGACGTCACGCGTGTGCGTTCGATATGCTGCATCGCAACACAACCGCTGCCTCAAGCTAACCGGCCTTTTAAATCATTACGTACCGCTGATCGTACTTACTTTACAACCTTTACTGAGTGCCGTACTCCTATTGTGTCAATTGCCGCCATCGCGAACCTTGAACGCTTAACTAGCTAAAAGGTCGTTGTTTGCACCATCGCTTATGTAGGTAAGTTCGCCACGTTCCCGTTGCCGCCATGGGTCACTTCCGCCCACAAATTGCGCTAAAAGGCCAAGCGCTAAGCCAGTGGCACTCATTTCGCTCATCGATGCGTACGAATCGCGAAAAGCGAAGGCGTGAGCCATGAAAACACCGCATTTTTGTTTATGACGAGATGAATCCTATGGTAGCATAAAGGACGTCTAGCCTAGCTGTGGAACACCATTATCGAACCGACCTTCATATTTTCATTTCTGCCATTGCGTTTATTTCCACGAGCCTAGACCTCCGCGGCCTGTTTGTATGAATACGCTCATTGCGCATCTGTGATTTCTATTATAAAGATCTGCGTCGATATCGTAGCCGGTTGTGTGCGTTTTTATCTCTAACAGCGATCACGCATTCGTTAACACTGCTAATGACATAGAGACTATTCAATGTGATGCGCAACTCTGAATCCTGAGGGCTGCTGACTCAGGAAAGGATTAAAGGTGGCATCGTAACTACAGTAAAAGTGGCGCTCTCCAGAATCTTCGGTCGTAGCTTCGCTAGTTTCAAAGAACTACGCACGACTGTTTGAGTTTGCCCCGTGATTGTTCATCGGCCGCTGACCTATCCCGGATAGAGCATGCATGTGTGCACGGTGAAATTTGCCAATAGACATCGGGCACAAACGGCCAGCGCAAGTTCTATGCCCTTCCAGAATTGTGTAAGAGATGTTTATTCCGTTTATGCTATTCATCTAATACTCTTGCGATATGACTCGGCTCTATGGAGCTATGTGTTAAACTAAAAATCATTCAACTTAATGAGTTTGATTGAAGTGACTCATGCAGAGTCCCACTTCAAGGTATCGAGAATGAAGGTAGCGTGCATGATACCCTTTTTACGGTTGAACATGACAAGCTGATAATGATTATCTATATAGAACCTAAAGCAGGCGAGAAACAGATAGCCTGCTAGGCAGTTCGAGAAGGCGGACATAGTGGTGTTTTTGCTTCCAGTCAGGTCCTTATATAGTCTAGGGAATCATAGCTTTCCTGTAGAGTGATATGCTCTACTTACCTAGCTATAAGTGCCCGGAGACCTCACAGTGGATGCGCTGTAGGTTATACCGTCAATAGCTTAATGGATAGCGTATTTGCGCGCTGGTGTTGGGACAAGTGGTGGCCTTGATTCGAATTCGGGCATGATTAATGATATCTTGTTAATTAAGCCACTTGAAGACCGGTATATTTAAGTAATGTTTAGGCATCGCTAATATTATTCTGCTCTATCTCCGTTAGGTAAGCAATACAAAGAAGAGCCTCTTACGGTGTACAGCGCACGTCACCAATGGACCGAGAGCTATTTAGGCTGTCGACAGTCCCTGCTGAGTGACATGAAGGCCTTATACTTTACTGCAACTTCACAGTGATGACAACAACAGAAAAGTTATAGATTTTTGCAGATATTGTACTTGTGACCTTCGTCTTAGTCAATGTTAAATGGAGAGTACTAGCAAATGTAGAGATATATTTATATCTAGTAGAAGTTGGTATTTTTTTTTAGATTTCTCCTATCAGCTCAATATTATGGGTCTAATATTCTTTAAAGTATCATTTTACATCTTTTCGATTCGATTTGTTGTAAATTTTCAGGAGAAAGTGTACCTACACAAATTAAATTTCATCAGGTTTTATTGATGAAGCATAACCCGAGGTTAGACCCAATTAGGTCATACCTGTAATTTTCTACGTATCGAGTTCCTACGGTCTTAAGACACCGTCTCCCTTACCGTTGACCCCTGTCTATATTGGATATTACTAGACTCAATCCCAATAATAGGTGCGATTTTTCGGGGTTGTAGCAACATGCGCGACAGCATTCAATACCAGGACTCATGTGATTCTAATTTCGAGTGTGTTTAGTATAACAATAAAAACACTGTTTTTAATTTATACGCGTTCTGTTATATTCAGAAACGAAAATAGCATATCGCGTAGCACAAGGCGGAGCTTGGCACGTGGCCACGTCGAAGCTACGCTTTTGAGCAAGCTCTTCTATAATGCGCATATTTGATGATTTTCATTTTCAACAGTGATAGGACCATTAAGAATAGAAGCTGTTGTCAATAGTACTGGCAATGAAAACGCCGCTATTATCTTCACAGATTAAACGATGGATTTAACTATTTTCTCGGAATTTGCGGACTATTTCAAATCGAGCGTATCTAAAAATCATGAGATGGTAGATAGTCTGATCGACAGACTGTGACGGCAACTGTCGCAGAAGACCTTGAATGAAACGAAAAACAAATTCTACGGGTTCGCCACGTCAAGGTCTTAGTTCTAGTGGGTATTGATTCGTTCGATCAAGCCGGCATTCATAAACCACGTTATCATACACTGACCTTCTCGCTCAACGGGTCGCAGAGAACTTTACGGAGTAAGTGGACCATTCAGCCTTACAGTGACGGGAAAGATAAGCTGAAAGTAGACCCACATACACACACCCAATTCAATAAAGTGGGAAGGCATGAAATTATCAATAGATGCTCGCAAACGAACAAAAGCTGGCAGACATCAATTGGCATTACTTTCCATGTCGGCAGACAGAACCTTGTAGTTGAGTCGAACACGTCCTGCGATACTGCTACACGGCACTGCTCACATTACCCTTTGGATGCGTCCATCAGTGGGTGAATATTTTTAATATATATAGGTCGGTTGCTTTGAGTGATCATTTTAGATAGAAGGAAAGGTTCGATCGATTTTACGGCCCTGGCAAACTATGATCATTAATATATAATGCATGCAACGTATTTTCTGACTGCGAGTAAAGTACTCTTAAAATCGCTTTATAAGCATTCCAGAGCCTGTGACGATCGAATGTTTGGGAGTTACTCTGCAAAAATTGCAAACAATAAATACCTATTTTGAAGCAGTCAGCTCCCAGACAACTAGTTACCCCCCACACAAACAGAAACTGATACTCATGTATATGTACTTCTAGCTTATCGATATCGGAGATCAATGCCGTTACGAGGCCTGTCCAACTTCCCGACAGTTCTTGATGCTTTGACTTGCTAACAGATATGCAGCATAAGGCCAGTACGCATGGATGGCATGACCAAACGCGTTGACAAACTGCGAAAATTAATTCACTTCTGTCAGCTCTTTACAGGGGCTTTGTAAGCGAGAAAATAGTTCCTTAACAAGGAATACGGTTGCCTTAATGAATTTCTTTGCGAAACGCCTCTTTTTAGTTATAAGAATGTATATCATAATATAATAAATTCCAGAAGCTATTATTCGTTTACGACACATATTGAATTTTGCCAAATCGCAGATGAGCTTTAGGGTCTGCACGACAGGAGGCCCTTCGTTGTTCCAAGCGAGCTCTTCACATAATGGAGTTTCGGAAAAATCTGCAACGAGAAGCAGCGATATCCCGCAGCGGATAAATAAGTACTACGATTTCGTTCCGATCTTTCATTTCATAGACACCGTAAATCAATGACTGAAAATGAACCCAATAGGTACTTTGCACCAGGCCAGTTGCGTCAGTGCCTCTCTTTCGAGAACAGTAGTTTTAAATACACTTTTTAAAAATATGATCCTTATTCTGTCTCGAATTTTAAAATGTGCCGTCACCGTTCATCCTGGCAATTTTCACTTAGAGTAATAACGCTACAGAAATTACCGAGATGAGCGGCTCGATGCTAGACATGAGTCTCTTTGAGATCTTCGGTCTATTACCAGCGATGAAGCTGCGTCTCCAAAAAGCAAACGAATCGTGAGATGTTTCGTGTTATTAGCGAACTTAACCCGCTATATAAACGCAGTTACAACTTTGCTATTTGCTTTTATGTGCCTTTCGAAATATACACAAATGGAAGCTATAACCAAATATAATTTATTACTCGACACGGCTCTATGGAGGATTGACAATCACTAAAAACAGGGTCAACCCAGATAGACAATTACAAAGATATTAACTCTATTGGCGTATCAATTTAGTAAAGACCACCGATTCATACACCTCTACACAAGTATCTACATTAACGCCTACGATCAACGATACGACAAGTATCTACGATTAACGATCTACATTAATTACCTGATGAACTATGATCATGCATCTATTATAGTTCTACCATAGGCATAGTCAACTTGAACCGGGGCATTTCTATTAGAGCGAGTGCTGAGTAAACTATCTACACATAACAAAGATTCAGGCGAAAAACTTTATCTATCCTTCCATCTGCAGACCTGCTAAGTAACGCCTAAAAATAACAATGTTTATTATGTTTGTGTGCCCTGCTAAAAAAATGATCGGTCGCTATGTGTGCAAATTGTCCTTTAATGATTCGGCGCGTATAAAAGCACGGGTGTGTTTTATGGCGTATTAAAATAGCCTTGACCAATATTTTGCGTTGGCTGGCCCAATCAAACTCTGTCTTTAAACGTTTGCTATTCTGAAAAAAGTTACAGGAAAAAATGATGATGACACATGGTAAATGCGAAGATCAATATGTAGTCAAAGCCTTAGGGGTATATCGTGCAAGTTACTTTGAATATAAAACACTTGAGAAGCTGCAGCGGTCTAGAGTACCTACTGAATTGAATATTTCTAACACTTACTCTCTAATAGATTGTATTCGTAAGATACGTGATTCAAGCAAAATGGTAGCACCACTTCATACGCTAGAGATATCTTCTAGCTAGCATCTATCTTCTGCAAAGAGTCTCTTTCAAAATTTCTTGTATGAAGATGTGCGTTACTTCAAGCTCGTTTACATTGTTCTTAAGGCCAAAAAGACCCCGGCCGAAAGGACCTTAAAGCTCAGGTGCGATTTGGCAAACTTTAGCAAAGGCCAAAAGCAGATGATATCTCCTGGTTTGACAAACAATTTGATTGGCCCTAAATACGTATCTGAGTGAACGTGTTCTCAACTAAACATTAATTAGCTAGCAAAGGTAACGTTCAATACGCCTATGTGGTCTGCTCAAAATATGGCCGACCACCACATATGCACAGTTCGTCTTTCAGTGGTTCACAGTACTTCACGAATTTCATTAGTATAGTTGTAGGCATACGTCTGTGTTCTATTTTATGTTAAAGTGACTCTGTGGTATCGTTCGAACGAGCAGTAATCATCGTATTTATGACGCACCGTATCACGGTTGCTGGCCCACACGAACCGTGTCTTTAAGTGTGCGTAGCTTTATTGCTTTAGGCGGAAAGGTTGAAAAAAGCAATCATGGCATTTTATACGGCTGAAGATCGAGAGGCGATTGCGACCTCAGAAGTTTATGGAATTACTTACCTTGAAAGCAAAGCATTTGAGAGCTTGCGGCAGTGCCAAGTTCCTACAGAGTTAAATTTTATGGACACCCACATACTGCTATACTGCATTCGGAAGATGGTTGATCGGAACGCAATAATAGGACTAATCCATGTGTTGAGGGATATCGCTGCCTCTCGAAGCAATTTTTTCCAAAGTTCCTTGTGTGAAAATGCACATTATTTCGAGCTCATCAACATCGTCCTCTATGTGAAAGAAATTCCTGCTGAAGAAACTTTGGAGCTCATGCACAACTTGGTAAGGTTTAAGGAATGCCGAAAGCGGATGATAACTTCTGGTATTTATCATGCCCTGGCAGACATACCAGTTAACCATAAAGAACATCTTCCAAGAAGGGCCATCAGGGCAGTCCTGTCCTTGCTGAAAGAGCTGTTCTGTAGTTTGCGTCCTGACGAGAACGACTACAAGATATTGGCAGAAGCAGATATATTCTCACATTTTGTAGAATCATTTAGAGATGAGATTAAAATGCAGACTCGTTATCTGCCTCAATTCTGGGAGGGCAAAGTCGACAAGTTACCCACCCGAAGGTACCGCCTAGTCGTTAATATCGAGCAGCAAGGCCTGTTGGAAAGTTGGGCAGACTTATTCACAGCATTAATCGCCGACGTTCAAAAACTGGAGATTCACAGGCATGAACACCAGTTTCTATTTGCGTGGGAAGTAAGTAATTGTCTGGTAGCTAAATGCGAATCAACGTCGTTCGTTTTGTGGTACCCATTTTCATAAATTTATGTGAATAAATTGAAACAATCGAGTAGTATAACTATAAACTCTATGGCCATTGTTATCTAATGATTTAGAAGTTAAAATGAAATTTACATAGTCGATAGAATTTCCTGCATGTTTACTTAGTTAAAAATAAAAGTTAATAAATAAACTTTTATTTTTAACTAAGTTTTATCTGGCATTGCTCAAAAGGTATACTCACTATAATTGATTCAATGATTCCACATTGGCTTTTCAGATCAATGTACAATGTAAAGTTTCTTAGTTATTAATTGGAGTATCTGTGATTTGTAGATCGAAAACGGTAACTCACTATTGAGAAAATGGGTAGAATTTGTCGGTTTTTTTTGTGTATCGTGCCGTATGACCGGTGACAATGTATGAATTGTGCTAAGTTCTGGTAACTGATATCAGCCAATGTGAGTTTGACTGTTTTCTGCTTTACTATATGTCCTGCACATTTACTGAAACTAAACGTGACAGTATTATACCTCGTCACTTGATTACCTTGTGCGTTTGTCAATGTGTATGTGTGTTGTTTTAGCTCATCTTCCCAATTGCCCTAAAGCTAAATGGACCGTTAGTCCTGCAAAGGTTCCTGACACTGATCATACAAGGAGATCGAGGTGTGCGAACGTGGTTTATTAATGCCGGGCTGATTGAAAATATATTTGAGCAATATCCATTGAAGCCGGTTGCTGAAAAAGACGATCCTTTAGAAATTGTCCTGTACATAATTCACAGACTTCTGCAAAAGCTGTCTCCACATCGAATTAATCAAAGCGCTCAAACTTACTTTGTCCTTACGCTTGAGTCATTTGGCCTAAGGCGTGCTCTAAAATGGGATCATCCTACAAAGCTAAAAAAAATATACGGGGAAATTACCGCAATGTTTGAACCGCTACTGGCTAAGGCTTATGAACAAAGAGAGGGCAATATACGCAGGCCTAAGATTAAAGGGTCGCGCCTGTTCGCGACATATGAATTTGGAGAAAGTTTTTAATATACTTAATTACAATATTGCAGTTATTATAGTGAAGAATGAATCGTTAAATCGAAGTAAACCGGCGGATTCTGACGACACCTATTTGATAGAAAGAAAAGCTCGTATCGCTGCAACTTGTCAAATATTGCATACCTAAACTTGTCAAATATTCAGATAGAAGAATTTTCTCGAAATTGTGGAATATGAGACTTTAGCTAAAGATGTTAAATCTTATTTTGTCATATCACTAAGATGATAAAAAGACGAGGCAATGTTATTGTTATATACCGTTCGTAAAGATTTTTCAGAGAATGCTCACTCTCATGTTAAAACCTCTAGAAGGCAACTTCTATAAACGAAGCCGTTTACTACCTTAGTATTGTTAATGGAGTAAGTTTTTATATGACTCGCGATTTCATTTTAATAACGTGATTTTAATTTACTACTTAAACTTTCATAGTCTTTCAAATGCGATAGTTTGTCTATACGTATAGCTGCATGCGGTCATGTATCCAGAGTCGTAACAACGGGACGTTTGAAACTATAGAACTAGAGTTCAAATTTCGCATGAACTCTTGTAGAGGCTCCCATAGTGAACGCTGTTGATGAAACAATCCATCTGTCATATACGCTTGTTTCCGCTTCATATGTATACTCTATAAAAATGTTGTAAAAGTAACATTTCGTTGTTAAAGAGCTAATATTGTCAAAAATACGCAATACTCTACGATTGTACTTGTCGAAAAAATGAATCTTTCTAGATCAAATAAATCCCAACTTACCGAAAGTGGTAGTTACCACTAATAGCAGAAATTATTTATCTTATAGCTCAAATCTATAACTAGAGATATTATAAAGTTGCATTATATTAGACAGTGAAGCTTTTATGACGAAAACATACCGTGACGTATGTTGGAGAGATTCCGTTACCCCATATAGGTCCATCAATCAATATATGATGATTGATAATTTGGTGGCTATCTAAAAAAAAAAAAGAAACGTAAATTGACGTAAGTTACATAACAAATAAAAGGCAGCCGAATGTTTTAACCAATTAGCTCGATAATAGCATCGACACTTTCTGGGGTTCTTTATGCATAAATTTGCCTTGACAATTGCCCCACTGAGCCTATTGCTGCTAAGCATTTTTGCCACCGATGAAAATATTGCTGAACCCTGTGTCTGGTGCAACTGGTTTAAACCCACAAATGGATCATTTAAGCTGCTGCAAATTTTCCCTCTTTTTTAGTTACAACAAGTCATTAAAAAGTAAGTAATTTTTTCAAAAGATTTGTTCTTTGGTATCGGTCCTACACTGACTCTAATTGTTACTTGGCATTTTCTATTTTCTCTATATAAACGTCTGTGGACGGCTCTTAGCTTCGAATTTTGATCCGCCGAATAACGACTGCTCTGTCAATAGACAGAACTGAAATAGATAAATATAAAAATATAAATTATATGCTAATAATTATATTGAATCATCCCTTAATGTAATCGAAGTTAGCATTAGCTTACCTGTCAAACACGTCGCAATGGATGTATAACTTCTCCAGTTTGAACTTCTTAAGATTTGGATTAACAAAAAACAACTATATATTAAAAAAAAAGAGAGAGAGAGAGAGAGAAACCAGACTCATTCCAGAAACCTTTTCCATTGACTCCGTCGTTACCGTCTAAATTGACCCTCAGGCATTCGAATGACAGCGAGCCACCCAGTTATTCTACCGCTAATGAACGCTACCGAACCTTGTGGGCATCGAGCAGGCCACTTTATCCCACTATCTTATATGGGTAACTAGCAAATCCCATTTACGCACCATACAATGGCGTTCCCATAAGGCGGCAACTTAGATAAAAGTAGGACGATTAGAACGGGGTCACTTATTAGCGCATTAAGGGAGGATGGAACACCTGCGTAGATCTCGGAACGGTATCGACTATAAGGTTCACTCTATGGTCGAGGGTGCAAGCGTCTTTCGCTGATTGTTCAAAGAAAGGTTTGCGGTCAAAGCTTAGCCAGCGAAAAAATACGCTTCCAGTTCAAGAGGAAGAGAAGATAATTATGCAAAAAGGTATTTATAAAATAGATATAAAAATAACACCTAGTAAAATACAATTGTCGTTAATGTTCGAAAATAACAAAGTCACGCCTTTACTTACGTTTTATTCACTGTTGCATAAACGTCTCTACATAAGTTGTAAAACACATCTCTGGGTTACTGTCATCACACACGTTTCTCTTATACATCCAAATACCTCGTCCTTCATCAATCGCCCCTGATATAAATAATGTTCTCATCTTACAATGTAACAATAACTTGACTTGAGTTGCTTAAGATATTAGTTTGATTTCTAGACTAACAGAATATGTCTCGATATAAATGCACTAAGTTCACCACACATCATATTGAATAATACATTTATTGTCACAATGGAGATGTGGCATATGAAAAAACACTATATAATATACGCATATTTACTTGCGTTAAGGAGCGCGGGAATATCTATGGTGGATTATTAGGTGCCAAGGGTCAACAGGATGAGTTTCGAAGCCTCCAAACGCACTTCAATGATTTCTTTCTTACTTCGGGATTCGTCGGTTTTGCATGAAGGTCGATGTTCACCAACATGATAAAAGCGGGTACATGTGGATGCACATGAGCGATCAACGGCAATCAGAAGTTACAGTACCAAATTATACCCCCAATCATTACATGCATGCCTTCTTAGCATCTCTTTAGATAACTATACTATCAATATATTTATTTATATCAGTTGTAAGTTCGCTTGTTCTCCATTACTTCCATCCTTTAAAGAGGCAATATGGCATGCCCTACTTTTGATTTTTTTTAACGATAACGAGGTTAGGTTTGCTAGGGCAAATCACTAAGTACAGAATTGCCGAAAAGCTTCGAGGGCGCTTGCTTTATTGCGTTTTTAGTAGAAGGAAGTACGGCTGAAACGTCTTTGAATTCCTTAATCTACCTTGTAGGTTTTAAAAGTGATTCGAGGTTTGGGTCTCCGGATCCCCTAGTTGTATACACGCTTTATTTGGCGCCTCCCTGTTAAACCACACGCCCGCCGGTATTGCATACACTTGGAGAAGTAGCAAAACTTTTTTCAGTTAGTAAATGCCGCAGGTCTTTGCTAGTTCCAAGCATCATATAAACATGTAAGAATGTAAGTACTAAAATATTGCCCTAAGGTGATCGAGAAGACAGTGTGTTAGACGCTAAGAAGCAATTGTATTTTTCCCAGTGCCTTAAAATAATAGATCAGACTTTTGGTACATTTTAACTATATGAAATATGTATATATTTTTAAGTCAAGCTAAACAAAGTTATATGATATTTGTCTTATATTATATATAGTCTTAATATATTTGCCTGATTTAGTTTGATAGCGTATATAAAATGCGCTAACTATACATATGTTGTTCGGACCGTTATTCATGTTATGTATAAGTTAATTAAAATTAATAAATTACTCGTTTTACTATGTGCTATATAGTCCATGATTTTTTGCTATAAAAAAAACACAATAGTTTGTGTCTTCATGTGGAGTACAACATGTAAATATTTATTGGCAAAATAATAAAAAATAGAAAATGTTTCTTATTCTGGTAACAATTCAATTAAAACCTACTAAATGCTAAAAAAAAAATTGTTATAAAACATTTCGATCATAGAAAAGTAAATAAATAACGACACACTTAGTCTCTGGTAAGGTCCTGGAAACAGTCAATATCGACTCGATCAATCACTATGTCGAAGAAGCGTCGGTCGAAAACCGAGTCGACATGAAGCGTTAACTTCATTCTTGCGACGCTATCGGAAAAGCTTTCCCAAAATCTAGCCGTTCAAGCTACGTCCCTGGGGCAGTTGGTCGAGGTTGACTGTAAATAGCCATTATTGAAAGGTCATTGTGTTGTATTATAGAAACTTTACACGTAGAAATATATGAACAGAGCTTTGACGATAAAGAATGCACGACTACTGCGATTTCTATAATAAGTCTAATCGCCTATAAAAAAGTACGGCCTGCTTCCTAATTGGAGTTAAAAGCTTGTTCAAAGTTGGTAGACCCAATAAAACGAGAATTTAGCCAACCGCTTGGGGTTGTCAGCACTGTTCAATGAACTTGCTGCGCGAAGGGTTACGAAAAAAATCGAAGAACTTACCCCGACCAAAACCTAAATCGCAGCTATTAATTGTTGATAGAAGTTGACGTATATCGCGCTAATGCTGCCATTTAATCAATGATGTAGTTATGACAGAATAATCAATGCTCCTCTTTACGTTCGTTAAGTGTGAACTACTTTTAAATCGCATTCGATTGTTTCTGTAGAACGGGGAGTTGCGAGGACGACCCTCAAAAGCACCTAGCATATCTGTCTTGTCAGCTTTGAAAATCTTTAAATTTGTTTATTTTTATTTTTTCTAAATATTAGAAAACTGTAAATGTACGCTTCAGACAGCAGACCATACGCACGGATACGATAGTTTTTGGCCGTTATTACATGAATCATTCAGAAGTTATAATTCCATCATTAAGATCCTTGTCGTGTAAGAACTTCGATTTATTTGCTTGGTCTTAACTATAACATGTATTGTGTTACAACGTTACACTGTTTTTATTTACTAAGAACGTAAGTAGTAACATGTTTATTTATGACTGAATCTACATTATGGTATTCACACGGTTAGATATTAGCCACAAGGTTAAATATGAGATCGGTAAGCGGATCTACAAGTTCTGGTAATAGAGACCTTAGTTCAATATGATGAAAAACAGGAAAAGGCCATCGGAAGGGAAGAGAATCCTTTATTCCTAGGAAATCTTCTTCAGTGATGTGCTGTGTAATTTTGTTCATGTTTTTTAAACAACTAGTATACGAAAACGTAATTAATAATTGGTACAAATCTTTATTATTTATGTATAGCCTACCAAGTATATAAAGTAATCATACGGTTTAGTTCGAATTTTTGACTCTCCCACATGAGCATCCTATGCAAACGAGGGCTAAAAAAAATTGCTAAACAAAGTATCACAAGAATTTTCCTCCCTGAACCTCGAAGTTACAATTCTATTAGCTGCGGTAGTTATGAGTGGGATAACCATGCCGACCATCGCCGACTTCATGTAACAGAGACCAAAACGAATAAGTTAATAAGAACGAGTAAAAGACTCGTTTAAATGAATAATAATCACCAGTGAGGCTATGGACCTGTATCAGCATCGAATAATGTCCTAAACATGATAAATATTTTAACGAAATGCTATACACAAATATATAAATATCTTCTATATACGAAAAATGTTTATTTTGTTTACATATTCCTCTATGAGCCATCCTGTCTTGGTAATGACAGTCAAAACTGAATAGAATAGAGCTCATAAGTATATCCATTCTTTAATCAGTACAACGACAGTCGAATAATAGCATTATGGACGACTATTATATAAAATATTAAATTATAGAAAATCTTTGGTATCAAGAGATACGCAGGAGCGCCTTCATTTTTTCTTTCACATAGCATAATCACTATATTTAGTTTTGGCCCGGTGTTTATCACGCAATATACAAACTCGACATGGCGTCATACATACATATGTATATAGTTAGATTCAAACACCTCCAAACGATCTAGCCGATAGGTCTGTGAACGACATCTAATAAAAAATGGTCAATGATCGAAATTATCGTAACGAGGCGTAGCTGAAATCTGCCGCTGGCCACTGGTTCGTCCAAAGGTTAGGCGTTGAAACCCACGGCCGACTGGCTCGGATTCTACTACCAAGTGAGTTCTTACCAGTGCCTGGTATGACATCACGTCTGGGGCTTGCGGTTCACCAGAAGCGTCTTCTGCTGCAATCTCGTTGTCGGTCATTTTTTTCAGTAGTTCGACGGAAGTCACAACACTGCGAAGCCCTATGTTACTGCAATAGTTTTCAAACTGCTCCTCGATTGTATGTGTGAGCCAGTTCGGCGTATAAAGCAGGTATGATGGAAATTCGATGTGCTGTTTGAATTTTCGGCGGGTAACGACATAATTGATGAAGGCATTTGGTTCTTTAATCTCTTCCTTTTCTAGACTATTCGATGCCTCGTGAAGTTTCCCAGGAACTGGATAGGATAGCACGAACAAATGTGCCGCAGAATTAACAACGGGACATCGGTACAAGTCGTTTATCTTGGACGAATGCTTTCGTACAAATTCAACGAGTTCCTGCTTAAATGTATCTTTGCCGGCACGATGTATTAGAGAGAGTTTTGGATCGCCCCCAAGATTAAGAATCCTGTACGCAGGAAGCGTTCGATCGTACTCAAGATTCGCGAACATACCGGAAAAATGCAAGACGCCCGCGGCTGATCCACGCGAATCTCTTTCAACGAAGAAATCCTGAAGGGAGAAGTCACCATACGGATCCTGGACAAAGTCCTCTCGATTGGGTACGAGCTGAAAGCAAAAAGGCGTTGAACCATTTGTGTCTTTGAAGTGCATGGCGATAGAGTCGGTCGCATCACGAAACTGTATTGTTATGGTTGAGGGTACGCTGCAGGTGCACTGCCGATACGTACGAAGATCGCGGATAAACCGCACTCCATACGGTCTTAACCACTGTACAATATCGGCATCTAGTTCATCTTCCTGACTAGATGTATCTTCTAACGGAAAAAACGAATCCGAACTTCGACTACTTCCTATACCTGACATACTGAAAGACCGCTCAGAGTTCATCGATAAAAGTGGCGGCAGCACCAGCGGCGGCTTGTAAGGTGTTGCGTTTCGAGTGAGAGAGTACGAATTTGTTTAGTCAACGATGGCAAACGAAGGGGCTTTCGCTCCTGGCCCTGCCGACATTTGGCCACAACTCCAATAATAAAGGGGACGGATGGCTATTATCCGTGATTCTGGAATGAGGACGCATGACGCGTAATTAATTATTATTTCAATGTTCGTTCACTGGCAATACTATCAAGAATATCAAAAGCATTTACTGCTAATGAAAAGCAACAAATTGTTTCATACATTGGAGCATATCGGGCATGCCTAGTTGTACAATAAATGATCGCATTTTGGCATTGCCGCATATATGCAGACTATAGTTTTGCTTACCTCGTAATGCTCCGGTTACAAAAGAGTCCTTTACCCTGCTCTGATCTGAAATTTTCCAGGGTACACGTGACGTTGTCGCCGCTCATACGCGGCAATTAAACTACTCCAAATAGAAAAACCGAATTCAATTCAGGTACACTTGAAATGTTCAGAAATACGTGACATTAGCGCATTTGATGATATTTAGTATTCACAATACCATAATCGAATATGGCCATTTTCATACGGCACAATAAATACATCCACTATATAGTCGAAAAGAATCGTGTGTTTTGTTCCTTGCAATTTCTTACACGTTCTAAAATTATGGGTCATATATAACGACCCAGTCATTTATAACGAGTCTTTATAACGTTACTTAATATAAGAAAGGCGCGCCGGGTTAGCTAATTATGTTTAGTTGAACTTTTTGCTATAATACAGATAAGAGGTACTTTGATTTGAATTTAAGTAAGTAAATCAGATATTGTCAAACGTTGCATTAGTTAGAAAAGTACAAGTCTAATAGATACAAAAGGAATAAAATTGACAAAATAGCTTGTTTTTTATTTTGCATTTGCCATGTGAACTTTATTATTCTATCGGTGACGTTGTTTTCCCTCTCTTAAGCTTAGACTTGGATCAGAAATAGATCAGGTTAGACTTGTATATATTATTTGTCCGATTTTGTATGTTTGTGCTACCGATTGTCAAATTTAGTTATTAAAACACCGCATGTCACTCAGCAGTAACGTTAACTGTACCTCATTACTATATTAATAAGAAGGGCAGTGTTCGTATATCCAAGATTAAATATGACCATATTTTTTCCCATTTTCTGGTAAAGCGCATACCAATCGAATTGTGTTCACCGATACTTCTATGCGGCCCTGTTCCTTACGGAAAAATACATTTTAACTAATAGATTATATTACACAGCCAATGTGATTACTTTGCGAATCACTACAGTATAGCAGTGCAGGACGTACAGAGACTGACTGTGCATAAACGCAATATAAATTGATTAAGCTCTTATACAAAACAGTACATCTCAATCGCAACGGGCGACTCTTATGTTGTATTACCACGATGATATGATCCCGATTATTGACTTCCGCAAAAGAATGACAATTGAAAGTATATTTATTTATCAGTATATCGAATTTTTCTAATTAACGCCATAACCACAATCATATTATTATCTGATACGAAATATTCAACAGTTACCTGCTCACTTTGGTCCCATAACGTTTTTCCATTAGGTATAAGTATCTGACGAAATACAGTTTACCCACATACAGTTTGCGAGATGGTTATAGGAATAGACCCTTTTTTACACCAGATGTGAACAAGTGTCCCCCCCCCCAGGAGACAAATAGCCAGATAAATTCACTTCGATACAAACTTGTGAAGCTGTGATGTGAAACACGAAAACACAGGAAAGTGAATGGGGCAACAAGTGTCAAATAAAGGCAAGAGCAGCGTTCGATCATAAGTTATTCAACTTAGGACGGCACTGGACATATGTACGAAAAAGAGGATAATACAAACTGTTTCAGCTAATTTGGAACTGAAAGGAAAGTCATCTGTACCAACGAGCGTCGTAAACATACATACTCGTGTGTTGTGCTACTATAGAAAGAAGTGCGCTCATAAACATTATTCGAATGCTGCATTCTGATAGAGCGCCTGTCATGCATTTGCCGCACAGCTCAAACTGTGTACGGCGGATTCGAAGTAATGGCTTTTTAATTGTAGACCTAATAAAAGAACCTATGCGATTAAATCCATCATTAGTTGGATGCGACTTTCTTCGCGCCGTAAAGGACACACAGCGGGCCTCGATAAAGTCGCAGGAAACTGACAAAAATATGTTTTATCTAAGCGTAGATAACAAATAAGGAAACGGCTCATATCAACGTTGCATAAACATTTACGAATATGCATCAACACAATTGCCCTTGAATTCACCAGTATATAGATAGTACAAGTGTCTGGTCCGGATTTACATTTAATTAATATATGAGAAAGCCAGCTTGTCGGGAGCTATGTTCTTGCTACAGCAAGATAGCAATAATGATGCTACCTAATTTTAAGAAAAATGAATGAGTCTGAACACAAAAAAAAACTGAATTATTTCAGGACAGCTCAGCTTTAAACAGCACGCAAACAACAGAGGCATATAGAAAATGTGGCCAAAGGACGAGCTCATGCAAATTTCCTCGTGAACAGCTTTGTTTGAGCATAACTCAGTTAATGGGTAAGCTGCAATATAGATTACTAAAAAGTAATAATAACTTGATTCTCAAGCAGAGCGTCTACCCATGGGTTAATGTTCAATTGGTTTAACACATAAACCAACGCAACGCGTTAGCTATTTATATGAAAATATATGTAGACTATTTACCATGCGTTCTATACTGCCGATGTATTCTTTCAGTCGCAATAGAGCTGCAGTTATTTCTATTGGCGCTTGACCTCCATAAAAACCACCAACTGTGACTACGTCTCTGTGTTTTTGACGAGATATTGGTTACTGTTAACACTAATTTCTAGTTTCAAAAAGAAACTGTATTAAGGTACGTTGTACCTTAATAAATAATTTCTTTTCTACGACGAAAGTACAATCTAAATTCGAGGCATAGTAGATCTACTACGAGCAGCAAAATAGTATCATTTTATCTAATGGACACAATAAGTGACTAAGCGCTTCGACACGTACCCTTTTTTTGCACGATCAGAAATCCCATTTGAATGTGATACAATATCTATGTTCCGAGTTAAACGTTTGGTATTTCGGCCGATACTGGATGGCTAGCTCCCAGCACGAGACTGTCGAACCTAGAATGTGGTATGATCACATTTCTTCTTGCTTAATACTTTTCCAAGTAATATTTATCGTATAGACTTCGCTGTGCATATGAACGGTTTCTTAAGCACTCCACATTCAGTTCCAGGAGTTGTCTATTGATTTTCATTTGTTCATCATTATCTAGTTATTATTATTTAAAAACGGGATATTACCACTTAGATTGATTCTGGAGGTGGAAACGGTAGTCAAGACCTTCCTTAGCAGCATTTTGAATTTCGTTTTAGAATCTATAATTAAATCAGACTAATTAATAATTATTCAACAATGCTAAACGAGCAGGTTTACCACAACCTGATTTACAACATTTAGCTAATGATTTTTAACAAAGATTTCTTCAGGGATTTAAGCAAGAGATAAATTTAATGAGAAACGATTAGCTCAAATGGTCAAAAAATGCTATACGATTTTTAATGATTGTAGGAAAGGCGGAGTTATCGTTTGTACCTTCGCAAGGATACGAAATGATGAATCAAGGAAAGAAACGAAGTTCACCTGAACAGATGGCAGAGACAAACAGAATCATTTTCCCAACTGTAATAGAACCTAAGCGAACGAGTAGTTGAAGCGAAAATGGCGTCATGTCATATATTTCTAATCGACTTGCCCTTTGCTTTTCCGTTGTTCGAAGCTATCCAGTGAGTAGCTTCCTTGTTTTCGGCTCATAGTTACATATGTTAGGTTGTTACAAGGGAATATGACGGACTTAGTAGGTGGGCTAACACGTGTTAGAAGGATTCTTTTTCTACACACTTGTTCTAGCTCTTATGTAATTACAGGTAATTTCGTCTACTAGCGGCATGTACTTCACAAATCGTTCTATTCCTCTCAAGGGCCCTGTTATTTTCCATCCACCCAACTGGAGCGATCATGCTATTTTTCTAGATTCGAAATTAGAACACTAAGACAATCTCCACGAAGTGATTGGCTTACTCAATTCTTGCTTAATTTAGAAAGATCCCTCTTGGAAAAGTAACCTTTCTCGAAAAATTATTCTACAATATTGCAGGATGGAGTGCAGAGATATCTGTCGCCTCTGGGTCTGTTCATAAATGTTCTAACGTAAGACATCTGCTTCGAGATATGTTGTTCGCGCCATAATGTTTTATCGTGAATCAGACGCAGCTGGAAAAAATCGCAAAAGGCGTTTAGTTCTTTAAATGATGAGCATATGTATTTATTTTATATTATTGACCTTCTTTATCCTCTTTATGGGTTGAGTGAACGAAACACAGTTAACTATAGTAACATGCATGTAGTGACAGTGAGCCGATTTCCGAAAGTTTGATCCGTGCTTACTTGAAAATTCATTGGCAACCCCGGCAAAGGCTCATCGCAACGCTCCGTCTAATCTACGAGAGGCAGAAAACGGGCCCTACACAATAACAGAGCTTTCCGCAGGGGAAAGTTTGCAGGGCGCACTGGTAACAAGCTCTTAAGCGAATATACCGGACGCGTGCATGTATTGGATACTCTAATGTTATGTATATACCACTGTAACTATGTAACAGTTTCTAGGTGTTTTTAAATGACTAATCAACCTTTTTTGCTGTAATAGGCTTGTAGCTATACTGTTACTGTCATGGTCAAAAAAAAAGTGCTTGCGACTGTATTCTGGCACCTGCATACATAACGTATCATATATATATTTAGCAGCTTGAATGTTTAACAAAAGAAAAAAAGGCTAAAAATAAAGGTTAAACTCTTATTAAGGTTACCGTGGCAAAGTAGTTTTTATCCCATGTAAAACAAATTATCAGAAAAGAAACCGTTGAACTTTGCCTCAA